AATAAATATATTCTGCTCAAAACCTCCATTTATTCCTAAAATTCATTCTTTACTTTTAGAGTACATGAACGCCTTGCACGTACCTTTTAGGTTGGGAAATCAGATTTTTTCCCTGTGTCATTTGGAGGTTCCCTGTATGAGTACCAAGGGTTGAACTTAGAACCCTGTGCTTGCCAGGCAAGCACTTACTCCACTGAGCTAACTCCCTGGTCCTGGATGATATTACCAGGGGTCTCAGTTCTTCAGATTTTTCTTTTCTTCTTCTTCTTTTTTTTTTTTTGACTTTCGGGATTTAGGCTTTAAGGAGATTAAAATAGGAAAGGAGGAGTATTGTATTTTTATTTTGAGTTGTTCAATGGGAAATTACCCAATCTGCCCCACAGTGTGAAAAGGAAATATCAGCGAGATATGCAACTGCTTTCACCTACAACTAGTTTCCTGCTTTCTCTTTGGTACCTTTGATGTTTTAATTGAAACCACAGAAACCTGGGTGTTTGGTAGCCTCCTGTCATCCCAGCAGGGGCTGGCTGAAGCACAGGGTCAAAGTGAGTTCTGGGTAAGGCAAGGCTATACAGTGAGCTCCAGGCCAGCGTGAACTGCTGACTGAGACCCTGACTGTCCTGTCCTCTCTGCTCAAATCCCAAAGAGGAAGAGGGCACCTATGCCTAGGCCCACAGCTGGGGTGGAAGGAGGAAGATGCTCCATGTGGCCTCAGGGAATGACAACAACAGGGAACAGTCAAAGCTCCTATTGCTGTCCTTGTCTTGTATCTCTGCAGACAGATACTGTTCTTAGAACTGCTATCCAATAGCACCTTAGTGCTGCACACCTATAATCCGAGCTCTCGGGAAGCTAAGAGAGAACTAACACTAAGTGTTGGAGGCCAATCTAGGCTACCTCAAGGAGCTGAAGTGCAAACTACCCTGTATCAAGAGAAAATGATTTTTGTATTGAAGATATTGTTTATTTTCCATACTTTGTTTACAGTACCAGTAACTGATTTACAATGTGTAAGAAGAAATAGTTAGTTTTACAATAATTTTTACATAGTGTAGCGGCCAGGGAGATGGCTCAGTAGAATAAGCACTTGCCTGGCAAGCACAAGGGCCTGACTTTAATCCCCAGTTCAAAAAAAAAAAAAAAAAATTTACATAGCGTAATATTTGATTCTGTGTTTTTAGTATATCTGTCTTCATTTTTAAAATGTTACAACTTACACCTAGGTGGGATGGTTCACGCCTCCACTCAGCAGGATGCGGTAGGAATGTTGCCTTGAGTTTGGGCCCAGACTGACTGTGTGGTGAGATCCTGTCTCCAAGAAAGAAACACAACATAAGTAATGCAAAACAAAGCAAAAGTCTTCAATTTGCATTCACTGTAGTCACACATCTGGCCTCTAGCCTGACTTGAGACAAATGTGTAGCGTTATTTCTGCTTTTTTTTTTTTTTTTTTTCCTCTTTTTTGTTCTCTTCTGACAAGGTCTCACTATGTAGTTCAGCTGGACTAGAACTGACTGTGTAACCAGGCTGGCCGCAAACTCAGAGAGCTCTTCATAACTCGGACTTCCAGATACTAAAACTACCAGCATTGGCAAAGTATTTTTGTTAAAGTCTCAATTTCTTGCTCAACTTGGCCTCAAAATTATGTTTCTGCCTCAGTTCCCTGAGTGGCTCGCTTTGAATGTTCAGGCCATGCTGCCCAGATAGAAATGCAGAAATTAGTACACAGAAAACCCAGAATAGTCCTCTGTGGTGACTGTATTTATTCTCTTCTTCTGATGTTTTACTGAAGAAAAAAAAAAGGAAGGGGAAAAATTATGTAAATTATATATATATAATATATGAGTTGATTGTACTACTAATTTCTATCAGTTTTTTCAGAGTCAGTTTATGTTTAAAATTTTTACTTTGACTTACTCTAAATGCCAATATGTGCAATCTGAGCAAGTATATTGAGGACAGCAATGTGAATTATAACCATCCCCAAGCTGAATATTTTTCAACTTGTTCTTTTCTTTTTGTATTTCAGGGAATGATCTACAGGGTGTTCAGGTTTTCACTACTAGATCAGACTTGTAGTGATCCACCTGTCTTGTTTTGTTTTGTTTTTTTCCACCTGTTTTGTA